TATATATATATATACTATATATATACTATATATATATATATACATATATATATATATATGTATATATATATATATATATATATATATATAGTCTCTCATCTATCTAATACCCTAGAGACCACATACTATGGTGTTGTCAGGCCAATATAGTTTCTACTCGAGTCTCATTTTAATCGGATTCTCCCAAAGAACTATTTCTCTCTCAATTCGAATGACTCTAGGGATTTGTCTGAGCAAGAACATATGATATATTTCTCTTATTATACAAAGAGTAAATAATCCTCTATCAACACTCAATAATCCTTGTAAGGTTGACTACCACTCTCAATAACTGGTTGCCCTAGATCTGGAACTTCCAAGTCTTTAAGCCCGGTATCAAAGAGTGAAATACTCATATAGGACATCCTTAATGTCTCAAGTATAAGGACCAGATACACCACTGGGACGACGGAATTACTATATGATAATAAGGCATCATCAACCATCCAACATTCCATGAGTGGATCAATTAGTGAACTTATTCTCCAATGAGCACCTATACTAATATCCTCACACGACCAGCTATGAGATCAACTACCTCCATCATATGTACAAGTATACAGTATACCAGTTTGTCCGGTTATCTCGATGTCCCTCTTGAGTAACCTATGACCGGGATTATTTAGGGTTTGTGTTTAAAGATGAATTGGTCTCATTATCATGATCTCGTTACGATCTGATTCTCATTGCACAAATCCATGAACATTACAATATATTCATATAATAAGTAATATAAAATGATAAAATATTAAATAATATAACTAACAAGATTGTCATAAGTTTGTTATCTAGGAAGTAAGAGATTCAATAGAATTATCCTATGTAGTTAGATATTCTTAATATCCCGATCTCTAAACTTAAAAAATTTATATTGAAATCTCTATAGTCTCGTGAGTAGTTGTTGTGGATGAAAAGAGCAGCGACGAGAAATGAGGGTTGTTAGTCGTCGACGTAATTGCTGAGTGATGGAAAGATCGCTCAGCATCCGTATTGATGTCAACATAGATATAGAGCAATGCTGCTCGACAACTACGTCGACGTCAACATAGATATAGCTCATATACAACAACCATCCACAACCCCCAGTGGCACTCTCATTCACCATCATCAACACCGTCCACCATCATTGTCAACTAAAACGTTAAAATTATTTTTTTACTCATTATTTTTATATTTCTATAAATAAAACTAACAATGTTAGGATAAATAAACCTAAATATTTTATTTTTATAATTATAAAAATTTTAATATAAAATTTTTAAATATAAAGATTAGATGAATAAAAGGATCTAACTATACGGGGCATATGTAATTAGCTAGACAAAAGATGCACCCAATACCTTTCATCGCAACAAAAGAATGTACCTGAGTATTTTCATAGTAAGTTTGGGTGAGGAGATAATATATGAATCAATTATGTGAAATCATCAATCTTTATTGGTCTTTTTATTGTTGCAGGTGCTCTCGCCTTGACTCATCCAAATCACCCCCATCTGGTTCAACAGCTAGGCTGGATCAGCACATGAATCGATCGATTCCTGCAAGGGGCAAGCCATGGATGGCCCGAGGGATTTCTGCTCTTACTGCGCCAGCCCGGCTTCGACTGCGATGGTGGCCTGCCTTCCCCGAGACCACATGCTGGGGGGAAACGTGCCTCGCGCGTTCGAATGGTACCGACGCCGTCACCACGAAGGAGATGGACCCTTCCTCGTCTTCCTCCTCCCCGTGTGGTCCAACGCCTAACTAAACGAAAGCTACGTCCTACGCTACGCCACCGACGCACGGCCGAGGTGGGCGTGCGGTGGAAGGCGTGCGTTGGCATCTCTTTTCCTTGTGACTTGTGACGGCAGGGAAAAGGGGGAGGCGGAGATGCATGATTGGCTTCCAAGCCATGGCCTGTTCTTTTCTCCCTTTAAATCCCTATTCTAATTAGCCCCTCCTCCTTCTTCCTCCTCTGAAGTCTTCTTCCCAATGGAATGTTCTATATTATATCTTCTTCTGAATCATTCTCATCTAAGCAAAGCAGGTGCCTTTCTTCTTTGACAATACAACTCTCTGAAAACATCCATTCAACGCCATGCATCTTATCCCATTCATCAAAATTATAATGGAGGTGGCAGCTCAACCATCAACGTTTTCCAGGAATTCCACCGCGCGCTCTCTCTCTCTCTCTCTCTCTCTCTCTCTCTCTTTCTGCAAGGAAATCCACTGCCCACCCACCTCGCCCATCATTGTAGCTTACCCAATCCAGATGTACAGTGACCACCTTTTGGCGTCCGCCCCCCAAATATCAAAGCCAAAAGGACACATCTTTGTGAGCTTGTTCGATTGCCTCGGTTGATGGATGGCGAAGACAGACAGATGCGTCAAATCCAAGCGTCGACAGCGTGTATAGTACTGTTTCGATCGTTAGCTCAACTACAACCATGCGTGATGTGCTCGTGTGGGAGTGGCGCCACCAAACCCAGTCGTGCACATTTGGTATGACGGCGTCCACAATCCCATATGGGAGTGGCGCCACCAAACCCAACCGTGCGCATTTGGTATGACGGCGTCCACGATCCCCACCCCCCCGTCCGATCCGCTCTTGCTTAATTCAGTAGGTGAGGCGTCGTCCTGGTTGTTGTCCATGGTGTTCTTATGCTGGTCCATGCTCGATTCCCTGGACCGCGGCCGACCACGTAGCTCTCCCTCCAGCCACTTCGGAAGGACGATCAGCCGACGGCCATGGAACTCATCTGTGACGTCATCGCCATGGCTGGGGCCTGAGTTCTGTTCGTCACGCTGGCAAAATTGCTCACCATGCAACCACAGTAAATATTCTCCGTCCACGTTCAGCATCTTTAAAGCAGGCGACGGACGGCTGACCTCATCCGGCACGCGTTAGCCTTTTAATTAATAATATTGCTTGAGAGAGGAGGTAGAGTGGTGGTATACTTCATTGCTCGGCCAAGCCAGCCAAAGGCCTCGAGGCTCTTGAGAGAGACAGAGGGTGGAGGAGGAGGAGGAGGAGGACAGGTCTTCGTCTCTGCTTTCGACATCTGGAGATCTCACGCCAAGGGCCAGAGTGACTCTTTCGAACAGCCAAAGTCCTAAATCCCATCCCACTCCTCAGGCACATATATAAATATATCCACTCCCACCAATGCTTTCCCGAAACAAGCCACCGAGAGCGGGCTCTTTATCTCGGCCTCTGCAAACCTTTCTCTTTCACCCCACCTTTTCTCTATCGCGCTCCGGAATGGGGATTGGTGGGTGGCACCGAGGCCAGGTCATCGGTCGCGGCTCTTCTGCCACCGTCTCCCTCGCCACCGCTCTTACCTCCGGTGAGGTCTTCGCGGTCAAGTCCGCGGAACTGTCTCGCTCTGCCATCCTGCAGAGGGAGCAGAGGATCCTGTGCTCGCTGGATTCTCCCTACGTGATCTCTTGCTTCGGGTTTGACCTCAGCTTGCCGACGCCCTCCGGCGGTCTCTACTACGATCTTTTCATGGAGTACGCCCCCGGGGGGTCGCTGTCCGATGAGATCGCGAGGCGTGGTGGACGGCTCGACGAGGTCGCGATTCGAACGCACGCCTGTGACGTCCTGAGAGGGCTGGCTTATCTTCACTCGAGGGGCGTCGTCCACTGCGACGTCAAAGGCCGGAACATCTTGATTGGGTCCGACGGACGCGCGAAGATCGCCGACTTGGGCTGCGCAAGCCGGATTCGTGGCGACGAGGAGGAGGTCGAAGGAGATTGCCAGCGATTAAGGGGCACGCCGATGTTCATGGCGCCGGAAGTCGCCCGAGGGGAAGAGCAGGGGCCGGCGGCCGACCTGTGGGCACTGGGCTGCACGATCATCGAGATGGCCACCGGGCGCCCGCCTTGGCCGGACGTCTCCGATCCGGTCATTGCCATCCACCGAATCGCATTCTCGCAGGAGACGCCGCGCTTCCCGAGCTGGCTCTCCGGTGAGGGGAAGGACTTCCTGAGCAAGTGCTTGAGGAGGGATCCCCGGGAGCGGTGGACGGCGGAGCAACTCCTCCACCACGAATTCGTGGCTTCCTCGTCGAAGCACTGCCCGAGGTCAAAACCAGACGCCGATCGCAGTTGGGTCTCCCCGAAGAGCACTCTCGATCAGGCCTCCTGGGAGTCATTGCCGGAGCAAGACGAGGAAACGGTCGAACACCTCGATGATCCGTCGGCGAGGATCCAACCGTTGGTTTGCAGCTGCGGTCCAAATTGGACATGGGAGGAGAATTGGTCGACGGTCAGGCGCGACGGCGACCCGATCGAATTGATGAGCTGGAACAGCACAGGACGAGCCGATTCAACGACGGATTCTCCTCACAGTTCACACTGCTCAATCGATGGTAACGGTAATACTAGTAATTCTTGTAATACGAGTCTTGCATTCGTCAGCCGTCAGAGAGAGGCGAGGTTTTCCGAGAGCGGCAATGTTTCAGATAACCATGAACAGCGAATCCAATCTAAGATTTGCTATTGGCTCGTTTGCTTCCATCTTATTGGCTATCGGCTTTCGTCTTTCCCCTTTTGTCGTTGTTGCTGTCTTATCTGTCATGCATGGACAGAGATGAGAGGAGTCCTAAATGATTAAAGGGCAGCCGTCCCAACCGCTGCGCGCACGGAGAATAAAGCAACGAGGAAGAGTTAGATTTGGGCAAATCTGGTTGCTTCCCTTGTCAACCATCTCCGCGATCAGTGGCGACTTGAGTCGGGACGTAACTACTGACTTCAGACGGAAATAAATGTTACAGCGATTCGACGAATGACGGATCCGAATTGGGAAAATGATTTCTAATATCGTACGGTTCAGATTAGAAATTTTGGCAGGGTGATGTCAACATGTCGGCTAGGATTCAATCACCCGGGAAACTTTGGCAGGGTGATGTCAAGCTTCTCCTTGACAATGTGTTGAGAAATATAGATCAAAATTATACTAAATTTAAAGAAAAATCAAAATTTCTTGAATGATTATAGGCTAATTTATGGGACTAAACTGTGGTGATGCAATTCAGATGAGGAAACGTTCTACCTTTCGACCGTCCACTAACCAAAAACGGTGGACTCGTGTGTCGACGGCTTCCTCTTAAGCGCGCCGCAGATATCACGGGAACTCCGCGCAACGACGAACGCCTACTGCCTCTGTCCTCTGCCAAAGGATTTGCACCCTGACACCCTCACCGAGTCGAAGCAGCTCCGTGGACACCCCCACCGACCCCAAAGTACACCAGATGCCGCCATTGCCAACCCAAGCGCTGCTCTTTTTCCTCTTCGCCGTTGCAGCCTTCGTCGGCCTATGCGCGACCGCGAGAAAGAAGAGAAACCAGTCGGTGGAGTCCGCCGGCAGCAAAGCCACGAAGCAACTCGCGGAGACGGCTGTGTCCGCTTGGGACGCTCTCGAGAAGGACAGAGAAGGGGACAGCAGCATGGCGTTGCCCCTTTGGCAGAGGAGGATACTGATGGGAGAGAGATGCGAGCTGCCCAAGTTCAGCGGCCTCGTTCTCTACGACGAGCTCGGCCGTCCCGTCCGCAGCAGCTCCAGCCATGACAGTCTTCTCAAGGTGATCAGCAAACGCAAGCTTAATCATCCAACTCTTTACATCTCGTTGATGTTTGCTTCCACTGCATGCATGCAGGTGAAGCCAACGCCGGCAGTGACTACGCTCAGAGACTTGCTAGTTTGAATTCTCGAGCTGTAGGCATGATATATATAAGCCCTTTGCTTGCAGGAGGAACTGATGTCTCTCCCTTTCATCTTCCTATCCCAATTCTTTTTCCTCATTGTTTGAGCTTTCAACAGGTTGAATTAACTTAAACCAAGAGGTGATTGAAGGTGATCTAATCAAAATACTTTTGGAGGCTTTGGTTGTGTCCAAGTCAGATCAGAGCTATGAGGAATGGAAGGACTCCATTTGGTTGGCTGTGATCTAACTGCGATCTTTCCCTTAGAGTCAATGGATGAGCGAATGCTCATAGCCCAATGTTGATGTGAGGAGTTGAACTTAATTATGCATGGAAGTCAATAGTTAGTTCCCTAGAGAAGACTTCGAGTCACAGTTCTTTCACAGAGAGATATGCTGATGATTAAGAAACAATATGTATTTAGAAAAATCAAAATCAGTGAATCTTAGTGTTAACACATAGTAATAAAAAAAGCATATTCACCTTGCGGAGTAATCGTCGATATTAGTATTCATATATAATTTTATCTTCATATTTAAAGAGACTATTTCCCAAACTTAAATTATTATCTTTCAAGTCAAAAGAGTAGTCTTACTGTTATTAATATTTAGTATATCCATTATAGAAGCTCGAACTTCTCTTATATCATCAGAGCTAATTTACTGAAGGAAATATTATATTATATTATATTATATATATATATATATATATATATATATATATATATATATATATTTGGCTTATATTGTAAGAAAATTTATATAATTTTAACGTTTTAATCATCTAACAAAGAGAAAGAAATACTTGTTCAAATATTCATAAAATAAATATTTTTTATAAAAATTATAATCAGTTCATGCAAAGAATAATTTATATATTTGAGGCATATATGAATAGAGCAATTTTATTCATAAAAGCCTGACAATAGATTTTTTACTTGCGAGCGTATCTCTTTTCATATTTATTCAATTACCCCAAAGGTCTTTGAACTTAAGATATAAAAAAAATCTAAAATAATCAATTTGGATTTAAAAGTCGCTAAAACAACCAAATACATTAAAATTAGTAGAGTAATTATTTATATTATGCTTCCATTTGATTAAGTCATATAACTTTTATAATATTATGCTCATAAATAAATTGTGTTACGCTCGATTATAAAATAAGACAAAAAAAATACTAAATTTGATTATACAGAATTTATTAAAATCAATAAAAATAGAAAAATAAATGTAGCAAATTGTTGTACCATGTTTTTCTTGGATGGTTAAAATTTAAGGTGAATTACTTAAATTTTATAGTGTTAAATTTGTAAATGAATTATATTATACTTTATTTCAGAATTAAGATATTGATTTTCTAATTGAGTGTCACGCAATTTATTTACAAGTATAATACCATGAAATTTATCAACTCATTTCAATCTTTCAACATAGCAAACAAATATGATATATATATATATATATATATATATATATATATATATATATATATATATATATATATATACTTCATTTGTCTTTCTAATTTTTGAATTATTTTATGAGTTTTTACATCATATTTTGATATGTTATCATGTTGAGTTTTATGAGCATAATACCATAACATTTATCCAACTCATTTTAACTTTTTAATATAATCAATAAATATGATAAAAATAATTATTCTATTTTTTTAAACTTTTATATACTTTTTGAGACCTTTAAATCAAATTTAATTAGATAAAAAAAATTAATTTGTAAAAAAAGACGAATAAAAAATTATAAATTATTAAAATCTTTATCAACTAAGGTAATCAATGCCACCATATATCTATATTTACATAACATAAACATCAATCATATGATAATTATTAAAATGACATATTTACCCTTTTTCTGTCTTACGGTTCTTGGTAAATTTTGTAATGAGAGGGGCTCACTGGTAAAAACATATTAATTCGTGTTTTTGGAGTAAACTGCCCCCCCATATGAATATATCATGGTAACCATATCCCCTTTCAGTCTTAATATTCACACAAAAGTAGGACATGAAACACATCCATTATGCAATGCTACATTACTGGAGGCCTAACGATACCAGCGACATTGCAACTCGTAAGCTGCACACACTACGAGCGGGCCCCAGCTCCGATTCCAATCAGCATGCGGGTAGCTGACACGCACAGACGCGTGGATAAACTGTTGTTACCAGATCAGGAATAAATACAGCGAGCCGGTCAATTTGTTGTCGGCTGGGATAGACCGAAGAAGATTTCCCAAAAGGAGCAAAAGCAGCATAAATCCGATAGCATACCCACCCACACCCACCACCGATGCCATCCACGAAACCCCCCTGTGACAGTGAGTACCACCGACACCCCGATTCTACTGGTTCCTTATACTTGCTCCCCCTGCTTGCCCGATGATTGGATCGTGTTGTGGTGCCCACTGGCTCTGCCGTTCGGGTAAAAAGAGGAGCGGCGTGGGAATAGCGTCGGCATCTAGGTATTAACATTCGGGTGGAAGGAGGGGTGTGGGGGAAGGGAAGAGGGAGGACGAGATCGAGAACACCGAGTCGGCTTCTTTCTACGGCCGTCTCCGTGCCGCTCTGCTGTCCCACCAGTCTCGAGGCCGCTTCGCTCACCTCCGCTCCGCTTCGTGTTCTCCTCCCCCTTGTTGGTGGACCTCCCACCATTCGTCTCGCGGAGAGATCTGCGTCGGCGCGCTCGAGGGGCATCGGGATCGAGGCCGAGATGGTGCCGAACAGCGTCGCGAAGCCGTGCTTCGGCGCTGTATGACCGTGCTGGCCGCAGGGTTTTCCTTCGAATCGAGGGCTCGGTGGGCGGCGGCGGAGGGCCAGGAGGAGGCGGGGTGCATGAGGGATTTGGTTGGGGATTGGAGACGGGCGAGGAGGGACTGCAGGCTCGTGATCCGGAGCAGGTGCCGGTGGGGCAAATGCGGCTGAGATTGCCGCGGACTGTTGTCTTCTGAAGTTGAATCAGCCGATTTCTTTCCGAACTTCAACTAGTCGGAGGGTCCTTAGTTACTCTGCGCAACAGGAAAGAGAAGGGGGAGATAAGGATCTATTTTAGGAGGAAGAGTACAAGAGTGTATAGTCAAGTCCTAAAAGATGCAGCAAGATCAGCGAAAGAAGGTTAGGGTTTCTTGATGTGCTCAATTTTTGCATGTATTGCATAAGAAAATTTAGCAAGAACTTCTTCTCCTTGTTTTCATTCCCCGTAACCCATTTCTCTTGCTTCCTTTCCGATAGGATTAACATGATATCTCTGCGCATAATTGATATGGGGATGAATCTCATGATTTTACTGTATTACCTGAATAACATTTGTTTCTATAGTGGACTTGGTTCTTTGGACCGCCATTTTGTTTTGGCCCTTCTGTGCCATACTATGATTTAAGCTTTTATTAACTTTGTCATCTAAAATTCTGGTTTGACATGGTTTAGCACTTTTGCAAGTCAGTCACGTCTGATTAGTTTATTGCGGTAAAATCTCGTCTTTTGTTATTGAATTTTCCTCTCTATCTTTTGCTTTTATTTGTAGGGGAGTTTACTGTTGCATCTAAATATGGAGATGTGAACCTCGCTGCTGTAGGTACCTTGACCCTATTTTGATGCCTTTGGAAGATAATTACATAGAGAAAGAGCACAAAGTTTGTCCACTTTGATGGCGTAGTGGATTCCACTTTTCAAGGAACCTGATTCTGTTCCATTAAATTGCTAGTTTAATAACAAGAATCTCTCTGTTATCATAGTTATCAATGACATTACCAAACATTCCGTGTCCTTCCTAGCAACTTCTGCTGTATCCTCCACTCTGTCTTTGTTTGCAACAACTTGAAGAATCATTGGATTTTGACTTAGCTGGCGTGGAGATTAATTATTGTCTTCTGATAGTGATTATCTTTGAGATTTGTTCTAAAAGGTCTCTTCCTTGTTTAATATTGTTACTTATTTCTGCAACTGAATTGGTTGTATATCATTGATCATGAGCGATCCCATTTGTTATCTAGATGATGCAGTAACCTTGATAATTTGGAAATGATAATAGCGAATTAGCGAAAAGAAATAAGAATAGCAAACATTTCCATGCATAGGAGTGGCACGTATGAAATGTTGATGAACAAAAAGAGACCTGTATCATTTTGAAGTGTTTCATTATCTTTATGAGTTTTAGGGAAAAAAAAAGGCTCTTGTTGTATTCAATTGCACGTTGTTAAAAATAGCAGAGAACATTTTTTAAGAGATTTTTCTAAATCTAGATATACAAAGTTGATCAGGTATCTAGAGTCTAATAAAGCGGTGAGTTATATTAGGTTTGGACTTACGGTACAGCTGTTCTAACTTATGAGATCTGTACATAAACTATGAAGAATATGGACACATATTGCTTGAACATTGCTTATAGTATGCACATTCAATATTTTGATGTTCATGTGGCTGTTGATATGATTTCGTGGTTTTACTTTTTGATCATTTTCTTGGAAATTATTTTATTTCCTACAAGGATTTCGGGTAGTCTAGCCTTTAGCAAGCTTATCAAGAAAGAAATTGTATGCAAAATCAAACTGATTATTAGCTATGCATGATCAAAGCAATAGCTCCATTTAGGGTTGCAACAAGTCAATTTTTTCTGGTGCTGGAATCTTGTTAACTAGGTCACTGACTCTATCTTATTGCAATGATATTTCTACAGAACACATCGGAGATGGACTTCTTCACGGAATATGGGGATGTCAGCAGGTACAAAGTTCAGGAGGTCATTGGTAAAGGGAGTTATGGACTTGTGTGTTCTGCCATTGACACACATACCGGTGAAAAAGTGGCCATAAAAAAGATACATGATATTTTTGAACACATTTCTGATGCTGCTAGGATTCTTCGTGAGATTAAGCTTCTTAGGCTTTTAAGACATCCTGACATCGTGGAGATAAAACACATTATGTTGCCTCCATCAAGAAAGGACTTCAAAGATATTTATGTTGTCTTTGAGCTCATGGAGTCAGATCTTCACCAAGTCATAAAGGCTAATGATGACTTAACCAGGGAGCATTACCAGTTCTTTCTTTATCAACTGCTTCGTGCATTAAAATATATCCATACAGGTAAAAATCTCATGTCAAATGTTCTATTTCATGAAGTAATTCATTATGATGTTTTATATGCTCTTTTGGTATATTCTCATTTGTAAACCTCTATAATGATCCAGAAAGCATTGCTTGTTTGACACTGTTCAGTGTTACTTTTGATCATGTGTGGGAAAACTTCATATTAAGCCATAAATCAGGCTCTTCAAAAGAGGTTTATGAGTGGGGATCCATTTAGCCAATCATGTCTATACATACAACTCACATGAGATCATTTTCAGTTTTAGTTTTTTGCCAGTTATAGTTTGTGAATATGAATGCTTAGAATTACTTCCTTTGTCCATGCTGTATACACGTCTAATGCTTCAAGATACTTCCTCATTGTATTTGACACCATAGAAGATATTTTAGCAAGTGAAATTTACTTGCTGTATCCATATACTTTCAGGATTCTTAGGAAATGTTTCATAGATGCTCCATTGGGAAACTTTGTTTGCTAACAAAAGGGTGATATGCGTGTTCTTGCTCTACTTACCTTCTTGTAGCTTGACTATGTTAGTTACACACCAGCTACATTTACCTCTCTCCTTTTATGGGAGTGAAAGTTAGCTGAATATTTATGATGTACCATGGGCAGCATAAATAATTTATGATGATCTCTCCAAACAGGCACAACCTGGTTGCAATTGAAAGTAGTTTTGCAGCACCTGTTTGTCTTACACTTCATTTGGTAGGGCAATCAAAGTAGAAAAATAAGATACTTGACCATTTTTCTGATTGTGATCTTCTCATCTGATTGTTATTTTCAAACTTTTGGGAGGAGGTGATATCTTTTGTATGAGTAGGTGATTTCTTTTGTAAGATGCTTCCTCTTTATAGTTGGCAGCAAGAGGAGTTCATTTTTCATTATGATGTGTCTATTCTCTTTGTTTTGTGTTTTTCCTGAAGAAATTTATTTCTCCAGGGATTTTGATCTGCTTGTTTCATGACATATGGTAGTAACGTTGTTCTCTTTTTTTTTTTTCTTGTAATGACTGTCTTATATCTTTCTTATATTATATTAAATTGACCTGTTATCAACATGAACTTTTCTGAATAATGTTTTCAAAATTCCTAAATGTTTCTTGGATCTTGTTTCTTAAATTTCTTTTTATGGTTGACTTGTATTAATCTTATGCTGTCGGTTATCTTTTTATATTCAAAATGCTAGAGTACTAAATGCCAAATACAGTGTTCAAGCACTTCAGATATTTGCCTTTGTTCTGACACTGGGCTTTTGTAATTGCAGCTAATGTTTATCACCGAGATCTAAAACCAAAGAACATTCTGGCAAATGCAAACTGCAAACTTAAAGTATGTGATTTTGGTTTAGCAAGAGTTGCATTTAATGACACACCAACAACTATATTCTGGACGGTATGCCAAGAAAACAGTGGAGTTCTTTATCTTGAAACTTGCTTTCTTTCCTTGAGAATTTTATGTAAACTGATCTTATAGTTTCTTTTTTCTGTAACTTGAGTATATTGACCTTCAGAAGGTAATGACATATCTTGTAGGATTATGTTGCAACCAGATGGTACAGAGCTCCAGAGCTATGTGGATCATTTTATTCGAAGGTATTGTATATTTGTAGGATAAATTGCTTGTCACATGATGCAATCCCAATAAAATAGTACACCTCTAAAAGTTTTATTGTAGTTTTAGTCATGTTGAAGTGTCACCATTTACTAAACCAACTACTGGGTCTTTCGTGTTGTAGTGCCACATGAGGTTGGTTTTTGAAGCATTATTTTAGTTAGACGAATTGACTAATAGTTGTAGAAGAAAGTTTCCCATATGCGATACATGTTTAATATGTGTATCTCTATGCATATTTTTGCGCATGCATACTATCATACATAAGTAATTATAAAGTTATGTGCATATATTATACATGAATGTGCTTGTGTATTCATATGTATTAAAAAAAATGTTGAAGTATTCACCTTTAGATATTTTACTTGGAGATGTAATATATTAGAAATGAAGAATTGGATATTCAAGAAGGATTAATTTCTCCTCTCCTATAACCTGACATAGCTTGGTATTTGGGCACTTGATTGTGCTAAAGAACAACATTTATTTTCGTTTATGCTGTTTTGTCATTTAGAAATAGTAAATCACAGTTTTTATGATTTTGCAGTATACCCCTGCTATTGACATTTGGAGCATTGGATGCATTTTTGCTGAACTCTTGATTGGAAAACCACTTTTCCCTGGTAAAAATGTGGTTCACCAGCTGGATTTGATGACTGATCTTCTAGGAACACCTTCCTTAGACACCATTTCTCGGGTATGCTGACCCTTCTCGTGAATTTGTATGGAAAATATGATATTATTATGTGCCAAGTACCAATGAAATTATTTATTTAATCGGTTCTCTTGCTGATTCCAGGTGCGTAATGAGAAAGCAAGAAAATATTTAAGCAGTATGAGGAAAAAACAACCAGTGCCCTTTTCTCAGAAGTTTCCAAATGCTGACCCACTAGCTCTAAAATTATTAGAAAGGCTTTTGGCGTTTGACCCAAAAGATAGGCCATCAGCTGCGGAGGTATGTTTGGTTAATTTATGTGCATATGTTGTCATACCCTAATTTTTTTTTAGATGTTCTTTGCTTTAGAGTGAATTTATTACCACAGAAGTATCTCTTTTCTACTAGATATCCTGAATAATATTTATCTGACAAGAAGAAATTCTGTGTTATTGATCAGGCCTTAGCTGACCCTTATTTTAAGGGTCTGTCTAAATTGGAAAGAGAACCTTCATGTCAACCAATTTCAAAAATGGAGTTTGAATTTGAGCGCCACAGGGTGTCAAAGGAGGACATTAGGGAACTTATCTTTCGAGAAATATTGGAATATCATCCACAACTTCTCAAAGAGTACATTAATGGAACTGAAAGACCAAACTTCCTATACCCCAGGTATTAACCTGGTTTTCTTTATTTATATTTTTTTCTTATGCATCCTGTAAAACTTTCTGCATCACCTCTATTTTGCAGCGCTGTTGACCAATTCAGGAAGCAGTTTGCGTACCTTGAGGAAAATCGTGGTAAAAGCGGACCAGTAGTTCCATTAGAGAGAAAGCATGTTTCTCTCCCTCGGTAATTGTTCATTTAGCATTTAGGTTTTGTGTGCATCTTATTTTCTCTTTTTTTTTTTAATGTGAACATGTTAAGTTCTTTATGGAATTTCTGTGAGTGTTTTGCATATTTCATGCATAATGATGACATAATGCAAAATGGCTCAGAATCATAACATGTTTTGTGAAGGTGGCTAAGTTAGGGGAGAGTATAAGAGGATAGCGGTGTTTCATAGATTGATCTAATTGGCCTGTGGCTACACCAGTCTTATGGTGGCTTCAGGAGTAACTTGATATAGCAGCTTGAAATATTCTTGAAGGAGCAAATAGATGTTTTAACATAATTTTTAAGGAAAAAAATAAGAAACATAAAACATGTTTAAGTCAATAAAGATAAGGTCATAGGGCCTTGCAGCCAAATCAAAATTTTGTTTCAATAGTCTAAATTTTCAAACAATTTATCTTTTCTGACTTGCCTTCTTTTCAGAGACTTGAACATATGATTGCTAGGGTTCTTATGAATCTTAAAATGGGATGTTGGGCATGTACTTCTAGAGTTAAAAAAGACTTTGTCATTATGCCATGTTATGAAGTTAATGGCAAACATGTTTTTTTCTTGAACTTCACGAGCCTTTAAAGGTTATTTGTTGTTCTTTGATGGAGGTAAGTATAGAAGAAAAGTTGAAGAATACCTTCTTAGACACAGTAATGTCACAGTCAGCTGCGCATTGTGCACCCACAACACCTACGTCATTTTGTCACTAACTTAGCTAAATTTGCCTAAGTTATGCATAATCCATGCGACTGTCTTTTTAAGGATCAACCTAAAAGTAACCTTTTTAAACTTTGCGGACACAAGAAGTAGTCTGTTGGCATATCAGTTTGTAAAAGAATGACACCATAATGCAATTACTATATCATTTTTGATAATTGGCCTCACGAACTGATTTTTGAGCTTTGACTTCACTGTGCAAAACGTCAGTCATCTCAACCCATTTAAACCTTCTTAGGTGGCATAGGTTCGGGTGGGGCTTTGGAGAGTTAAGTTTGGGTCACCCAGTTAAGTGGCTATTGTGGACCTGTGGCTGTCTTTTGAAGTGTTTGAAGTCCTTCAAGGTGTCCCTCAAGTGTTTGTCGAATTGTTTTAATCATGTTTGTACGAGACACTAGAATTGTTTTAATCTCAGTTGTACGAGACGTGAATTGTCTGCCGCATTTGACGTTACCAATCTCTCTTATGTAGGTCCTTTGTGGACCGCACAAGGTTTCTTTTTTGCTAATTCTTTGCGGACTGATACCACAAAGGTTTTGCAGGACATAAGAAAATATAGCTAAACTCTATGATGGTAAGGTGGTCGACTTTATGCATTAAAGGACAATGTTTGATTGGAGAAAATAAGTTCACCATGCATCCCATGTCAATATTATATAGAGGCTGATTCTGTCAATTATATAAGTTCACCATGCGGGTTTGAGTCATAAAGTTTAAAACCTTGATCGAGTGGGGGTTGGGATGATATTACTTATCCTTGTCTTGAATGAACCCTGCTTGTCCCATAAAAAAATGCCTTTCACATTTCCAGATAAATGATTCCTCAATTGACAAATACAATCAAATATATATCAAACATATATCAAATGTAATCATAGCACTGAAGGGGGACAAGTGGGACTTTTGAGTGGTGAAACAGGAACGTTTTAAATATAATCATAGCACTGAGAGGGGACAAGTGGGATTTTTGAGTGGTGAAAAAGGGACGCTTTAAGTAAAACGTGCTCTGCCCTTGCACCTTGCCATCCCTATTTGTGATAATACTTTGGACTGGCATCACTGAAGATATCTCTATCTGAAGACAACCAAAAAGATCTCAATAGTTTAAGATCTTCAAGAATTTGAGGCTGATTCTGTCAATTATATAAGTTCACCATGCGGGTTTGAGTCATAAAGTTTAAAACCTTGATCGAGTGGGGGTTGGGATGATATTACTTATCCTTGTCTTGAATGAACCCTGCTTGTCCCATAAAAAAATGCCTTTCACATTTCCATATAAATGATTCCTCAATTGACAAATACAATCAAATATATATCAAACGTATATCAAATGTAATCATAGCACTGAAAGGGGACAAGTGGGACTTTTGAGTGGTGAAACAGGAACGTTTTAAATATAATCATAGCACTGAGAGGGGACAAGTGGGATTTTTGAGTGGTGAAAAAGGGACATTTTAAGTAAAACGTGCTCTGCCCTTGCACCTTGCCATCCCTATTTGTGATAATACTTTGGACTGGCATCACTGAAGATATCTCTATCTGAAGACAGCCAAAAAGATCTCAATAGTTTAAGATCTTCAAGAATTTGAGTTTTCTTTTATTTTATTATAGTAAGAATTTAACTTGGCATCACTTGTAGCTAATTTTCATTGAGAATTGGAGGGTATTGGTTGTTGAATTTGTTCTACTGTGAGTGGCCTTGTCCTGTGCCATACCTTACTAGATCCAATAATTTGGTCATATTTAATCGGTGGTTCATCTGGATCCAATCATTTAATCTGTTGAATCCACTGTCAGATTGTCAATTTTTGGCAAAAAGTAGTTTGAGAAGTAGAAGAAGAATATGACTGAAATAAAAGGAGAAAGTGGTGATTTCCATAAAGTGAGGACTATAACTTGAAACCTATTGATGTCAGCTTGAATCAATCGAAATCGTCTGGGACTGACAGATTCAGTTGGGAATAACCAGCCTCAATCGATTGTGATTGGTTGTGCAGTGGAGTTGATTGATCTGGTCATTGAATGTTTTAAGAAGAGAAAGGCCTATCTCTATCCAGATTGGTTGATTTTCAGAATTTGGCATGTGTTTTGTGATCAATGTTCTTGTCCATTCCAAATTTTGACTCTTTTTTGTGCAGTCTAAAACACATACGATGATAATGGGGAACACATCTTTACCGGGCACTGATGTCTCTCCCACCTGTACTTAATCTCCCATCGATGAGACTTAAGTATTTCAATCACTTGTTTTTGTAGATCGACTGTGGTCCATTCTACTTCAGTTCCTCCAAGGGAGCAACCAAATTTGGCTTCATCAAGAGGGAGTCAAGTTATGGATGACACATCCAACAACCCTGGAGACAGTGGAGCACCTAGAAATGTTGCAAGGACTTCACAGTTACCTCAGAGGATTCCAACTGGTACATATCTCATCCCCAAGTTCCCTTTCAAGTCCATTATTCCATCCCCTGGTAAATCATCCTATTTAGCCAAGTTGGCAATATTGTTTTTACGATTGCAGCTAAACCTGGGAGAGTGGTGGGTTCTGTGCTGCCATATGAACATGGAGGTCCAAAAGATTCCTATGATCCAAGGAGGCTGATTAGAAATCATGGCTTTCCACCCCCGCCGGTCATTCCTCCCACCTTCTGTTTCAACAGAGCGATGGCCAATCCGACATGCTCGGAGCGGAACTCAGTAGAGGCAGAGAGACTCGTGATGGACCGGAAACCTCACCGATCTGTGCCTGACTTAGTTATGGACATGGGTGTCCACGCTTTCTGTCAGCCTCGAGGTGCCAAGGCTGATTCAATGGAAGACGGGATGATCGTGGATGCGAACATGCTACCCCCAAAACCTACATACAACGGCATCGCTGCTGCTGCTGCTACTGCTAATATGGGCGCTGGTGTCATGCAGTTTGGCGTAGCAAGAATGAAATAGGTCGCAATATGTTGGTAATGGTGTTAACTTATATTACTCATGAGGGAAGAGAAAGCAAGGTTCTCCAATATTATGTTAGTTTATTGTGGATGCCCTCCTAAATTACCGTAGATGAAACCCCCGATGCCTTCTTTTTTCCTCGTACTATTTGCTTCTCTCCTTTGTTTTCCTCCCGCGAGATATCTCCCGTAGAGCGAGTATAATGTCTTAAGCTTGTTTTTAGTCAACAGGGATGGCTGCAAATGTTGCAAAAACAATAATATTTTGATAAATTACAATATATGTTTATTCATCCATAGATGTCACGACATAGCAAGACTAAATGTTTATTTATAATTTATAATATGAGATGACATCCGAAGAGGTATCGCAAACTCTAGATCGTTATGACTTCTATCACATATAACTTTGCTCTTGTGTTGGTTGACGTAGTTTTATACTTTTTCTTAATTTTTCTTGGGATAATTATAGATTATTTATTTACTTAAATTTTTTTAATATTTTAGTTTTTAGATTTAAAAAATTTATATTTAAATTTTAATAGTTATGAAAGTTAAACATTTAACTTTATTTATCCTAATGTTATTCGTTCTATTGATTAAAATATAAAAACGATCAGTAAAAAAATAATTTTAATATTATAGTTATGTTTTGAATGGTGACGAATGACGACGCCCTTGGTGTCGCAAGTGATTGTTTTGGATGAGGGAGAGCGATGATGAGAGGTGAGACAAAGAGAGGAGGAAGAGAACGATGTAGATGTTGACGTTTTGCATCTACATCGACGTTACTTGACAACTGTGTCGACATCGATACAAATATAAAATTACAAAAAAATTGTTCGAGATCTGCATCGTCATCTAATGCAAATGCAGAGCAATGTCGCTCGACAACTACATTAGCCGATGCAGATGTAGAGCGTTGCATCTGTATTGGCACTAATGTAGGTGCCGAGAGATCATTTCGCCTCTCTACATCTACGTCAACATCACTAAGCAATTGTGTTGATATCGCTTTGTATCTGCATTAACACAGATACAGATGTTGAGTGGCCCTTTCATCGCTCTACATTTATATCGACGCAGATGTAAAGCGTCAACATCTGCATCGTCCTCTCCCTCCTCATCCATAACAACCACTTACGACCTTCAACGGTACCATCATCCATCACCATCGAAAATATAAATAAGATATTAAAATTTTTTTTTTTCATACTTCCGTCGATAAAATCGATGATATTAAAGTAAATAAAACTAAATGGCTATCAGAAAGCTTCGAACTTTCCGTCTACAAAATCTGATTCTCATCCAGCCATTGGAGTTGAGAATAATTAACCTCTGGTTCATCCTTGTTCATGTATGAACGATTTTAGCAGTTGTCCTCAAGGAAGAAAGATAAGGTAAGTTGATTATGATGATTTTGATTTATGAAGAGGTTCACAAAGAGAGACACAGTAAAAATGATGCTTCTTTCTTTTATGAGTACCTAATTTAAACATTTTGTAATCCCAGCAACTACTATCATATAGGAGCAAACGCGTAATGAATTAATGAAGTAAGATCGACAATACCAACTGCAGAAGGGTGCAATCATCATTCTAATTCCTAATCAGTTATTCCGTAGGGATCTTAAAAATTAACCACGGAAACTCTTCCACCGGAAGCTCAACCGATGACAAGGATGAATTGTTTTATGAACTATTCATTGTACAAAGCAAAAGAGTGCAAATACAACATGTTTTGAAGAATGTTTATGGGGTCTAATATCACATCAGAAACCGATAATCAAGACACAAAATTGAACTTTTACAAAGTTTTTAATATTCGGTACATGAGTTTCCCCCAATTGCCAGCAGAAGTCAGCTGATATCTTCTTAATGTGAGTGAGTCACTCTCACACTTAAAACATGATCGACTATAATTGATTCTTCTGTACTAAGCAAAGATACAGTAGCTCAATACTTGAAGTGTATTAGAAAAAAGCTTATTGAATAATGTCAAAGTTACAAACAAGAAGAGAGACATTTGAGCATACCGTACCCACAGCATAACGCTTACGGCACTAGATGTGCAGCATCGCCTGCATTCCATCTTATAGAACCAATAGCCGTTTGATCCCGGCCTTCTGCTCCGAAGTCAGCCTCGGCGGAAACCTTATGTCGAACTTGATACGAAGATTTCCTTTCCTAGATGGATCTTTTGGTATTGGCATTCCCTCTCGAACGACCACCTCCTCGTAGCCAGGATGAATGACGGAGTTTATGGGTATTGTAAGGCTGCGACCATCAAGTGTAGTCAAATGAACTGTATAACCGGTCAGGGCTTCGACCAAAGATATTTTCTGAATTGCAATCAGATCGTTTCCTTCCCGTGTGAACACATCATGTGGCTTTTCATCTATGATGAAAACTATATCCGCAGGGATAATGTTGGGAGATTCATTCCCTTTATCTGGGAAAGTAATTTTGGTTCCCTTTTTCCAACCTGCCTTTATGTTGATCGTCAGAATTTCTTCCACTGTCTTTGTTTTCCTGTGACACATTTACAGAGTAAGCAAAATATTAGTAGATCCAATGAATCTAACATAAACATCACATTAACATAAATCCTATTCCTGTAGGATACACAGAATGTCAATCTACACTGCCTACAGGTAGACATATGTTGGACTAGATTCAAAATAGTAGCAAGGCTAGTAGTTAATAGTAAAGCATGAACTTTCCACTGAATAGTAGGTTCTGCACATTGGAAGAGGTAAAACGCTCCAACTAGTAAACCAGTTTGTGATTAAGGATTGCAGCAACAGCTCTACGTTTCAAGAAGGAAACAGTATATAGGCATGACTATGATTCTTCCATACAAATACCTTGTGCCTCAAAAATACAATAAAAATTGCAGTAGCAGCTCCATATCTTATGTAGAGAGCACTGGGCCAAGTTTAATTAGAAATATGTTTCCATTTAATGACTTTCTTCGTACTGCATCTACCATTACATTATTGCATAAACTTCTTATTAAAACATCCAATGTGACAGTAATTTACAAGACACCATTTGGAAGAGAACAACTTAAGAGACATATCCTATCGATTCTGCACAATATGTTTATCTTGAATTCCCAGAAAAATAAAATGCTTTCTATCTAATTAAATAACGAAACGATAAAAGATGATGATGGAAGAAGCAACTCAATAATGAATTATGTGGGGTACATAAGGTGTTACTCATTACTTATCCTATCAGTTCACGATCAGCAACCAATGATGACTAAGAGTACTCACGACTAGAATAAAAAAACTACTTACTAGTAGACAACTGAGACTTTCATACATGAGATCCATGAACCAACCTACATCATCCATTTTGATGATGCTGACAGTTTTTAAAATAGAGGGAATTAATGTATGTATGTATGTATGTATGTATGTATATAAAGCAAACAAGTATTACAAGTGAAAGGAGAAAATTCAGAATAATGCAATCACAATAAGAGAGAAACGATATATGACAGCATTCCTCTACATGATCGATAAAAGTGGTGAAGTCCATTCATAGATATATATGATCTCAAAAGTAAGTTTGATGACTGTAAGATGAATATAACACCCGATTGGCAGCTATAGGCCTAGTGATTAAAACTAATGAGGAATCACATCAAAATAACTTTGATCATGAGAATGGGGAACAGTAGCTCTTCAAAGACATCTTTTGTTTCACCAAGACAAACTACCTCATCACATCTTTACCGATGGATCCAACTTTCAGTAATGAAAAATGAAGTTATTATCTTGTGCAGATCACCAAAAAACATAGCAATAATGTTTCTACAGTGAAGCAAGTTTCTTTCAACAGCAAGAATGTTTGGGGCATATTCCGAAAAACCACGCACTGATTAGATCAACCAAGAAAGCATGATGAACCAAGCTTTAAGATCTCTTCGATAAACATAAGAGAAGAATCTCACCCACTGGCATCGACAATCTCGCGCGAAATCTTCATCTTCTTGGTAGTCCCTTTATACAAGTCCTCGAGGCTGCATGGCAGCCGATTCTCGATTGGCGCTGCCTTCCGCGGCTGCTGAAAATTCATCGACGCGCCTTCCCCGCCGCGGAAGGTTGACCCGAACATCTCCTCCCCAAACATCCCCCCCATCCGGCTAGGGAACCTCGATCCGCCCCTGCTGCCGCCGCCGCCCATGCCGCCGAACGGACTAGAGAACCCGAAGAACTCCGAGAAGATGTCGTCGGCGCTCCTGGGGTTGAACCTGAACGTGGTCGACTCGTCGCCGCCGTCGAACCCGCCGGACCCCGGCGGCGGGACCTGCCCCTTAAGCCCCTCCTCCCCGTACTGGTCGTAGACAGCGCGCTTCTGAGGATCGCTTAGCACCTATCAGACAAGCGATCCACGGATCAGCAAGGCTGGATCTTGGGAGGCGGGATCAACGGATCACCAAGATCGTACCTCGTAGGCTTCGGAGATCTGCTTGAACTTGGCCTCGGCCTCCTTCTTATTGTTCGGGTTCTTGTCAGGGTGCCACTTCATGGCGAGCTTGCGGTAGGCCTTCTTGAGGTCGTCGTCCTTGGCGCTCTTGTCCACGCCCAGGATCTTGTAGTAGTCCACGCCCATCTCCTCCTCCTCGCCTCCTCTTCTGCTGTAATTCTTATGCTCCTCCTGCCTTCTCCTCTTGCTTTTATGGTGATCGGGGTGATGAGCATGCGCGCTGTTCCTCTTCCTTCCTCCTAAACCTTCCAGTGTGGCTTTCTTTCTTCTCCCTTGCTTCGACCTTCTTCCTGCTCGTTGAATCGGTGCAGCGATGGACACTTCGATCTTTTTCTGTTCGTGGAATTGGGTGGTTTGGTTGGACCGGGAGGGCTTTGGAAGGTTTGAGAACGATCGTTGCCGAGTTGAATGGCTCCGGCCCAATCAAATGATCCGTCGATTTGAATGGCTCCGGCCCAATCAAGTGACCTGTGGATTTTGTGTGAGACCGTTCACTAATTGGGCCAATATGGGCTCAATTGCTGACGATTAGACCGAGAATTGAATCAGGTTTGAACTCCAAGATCCGCTTCTTATCGGATCCGGGTCTTTTACGAGGTAGTCTCAACCCGATAACATTTCGTCCTTGAGCACTCCGTCCTTGTAAGGACGTGGTCGTAGCGTCTGTCGTGGATCGGGGAGAACCAGCCGTGTGGGTTTTGAGCTTTTCTTTGAGGACTTCTATCGAATGTCTGGCGTTCGCAAATTTCATTCACAGGATGTTGATCTGAGCTCTTTTTTCTCTTTTCTAGATTATCATCTTCTCGTTTGCATTTGGTTTAGGTACTTCTCCAAAAATGAAACGTTCTTGAATACATGTAAGACGTTTGTGTTCGAGGTGATTGTGAAGATCTAATCAAGAAACCTATATGTTTTGAGGTAATTGTTTATAAATCCTTTCCGGATACAAATAAGTACTTTGGTTTCCAAGTTTTTAACATGCTTGATGCTGATAGTGGGCATAATCTACATATTCTAGCGCTGCTAATGAGTGATCTTTCTTTACCTTTCACAGCAGAACATATTTGTGGAACTTGTGATACCTCTATGATCCTTGGGAGTAAAAGATCTATTCTGCTCTTCCTGTTCGTTAATTAAGATGCTTGAACGTTTCAAAACTTGAGTGATATGTTTTGTGTGGGAATATTGTATATATAACAAGGCATGATGGGAACACTTTGAAGTCCAAGAAACAGATAATGAGAGATACTTACAAAGAGTGCTTTGTAGTCCATATAGTGCATCTCCAGTGCTAACACTCAGAATGTCAAACTTATTTATCATATTTAATTAATCTTTTAGGTGTAGCACCAAAAAGTTAGCTCCAACTATTGGAACTTCTGAGGTTTTTTTACCTAAAAAAAGACTTTTTGGCCCCATCCTGCAAAATAAGATCACAGTTATGTCAATGTGCAAAACCATTAATCTTTATATGTTGTTCTTCTATATATAATTTCAGATAATCCATACACTTTTGACAACATGGTATGTAGGGTATTTCAATTTTTGATTTATCTATTACAGTATCTGTGGTTAATTTCTTAGAAGCAAATAATAAGCCACAAGCCTCAGCTCATTCTTGACAACGAGTAGGGTACAAGATGTACACAAACCATTTAGTATATTATCAGTGAAATGATAATATTATAGTATCACTTAGTGTCTTACAAATGAAATGGTAATGTTCCAGTGAGGTTGGATTTACAGTATTGTATTCCTCTAAAAAGAAAAAACAATGGCTTGGGTGAAACATTATGTGATCATTGTTGCATATGACAGATAGCTGGTTAGAAGTTTGGAAGAATCAAGGAAATTTGAGGAAAGTAACAAATTGAAACAATCATCAGTGGCCGAGCTGCTTAGTACTTTACCTCTGGATAGCACCCCACACCCTCTGTGGAGTTCTTATCTGTGAGTTATGGTAAAACAACTCCTATGCAGCTACATGTTTGTGTGTATATCTCAAGCCATCCATCTTAAGTTTTCTTCACTTGTTTTGAAGTATCATCTAAATTGGCTTTCTATTGCTAGGTTAGATGGCCTTTTGGTTTGGAAAATTGCACCAGCATAACTATGTGACTAGTCAATCAAATGAAAAGTTATTCTTGCTACATATAGGGAATGATTACCAGAACTGTCTGACATTCTTACAATGTAATATTGATATAGCAGGGTTTCTAACGTGGATCAGAATTCCGAATTGAGAATCAGCATAGTGTATATACAATATATCAAATTATGATTAGTTCTTTTCATAGAACAGCTATGATATTCTTTACATGCTCGGGAATCCTTGCTGTCGTTCTCTGGCGTCCTAAGAGGACCTTGAAACGCATTACTAAATTTAATGTAGCGTACAGTAGTTCATAATATCAAGTAACTCTTAGTGTGTTGGAACCATCTTATGGCAAATCTTTGTTAAATTAACTCTTAGTACCTAGAAATCATCTAATAGCTTACCTGCCTTGGTCGAACAAACTTGGAATCCTTAATTCTACTCTGTCCTCCATCACCAAGTGATTAACTACAACCTACATGTTTCAGCCATTCAAGAACCCAAGTTGTGTTGTTGTTTTGGCAAATTTTAGTTACCTGTAACTAAATTGTAATGAAACTGCATGTGCCAAATCCACACCGATAGGCCAGTTCAGAAACCTTTTTCGTGAAGTACATGAGACTTCTGAAAGAATCCTTTTTCAGTTACTCCTGCATCCTATCTTATATTCTTTCAGAAAAAACATATACAAATATCTCAATATTTGCTTATTGAACTCTAGCAGGATGCTTTTGAATGGTCTAAAGAGCTTTTGATTGATCATCAAATGTTGCAAACCAATGCCGAAAGCTCAATTTGACATAGTTCGAGTGAAAAGGGTTTTTCGCATACTCTTCCTCTGATTTCGACACTGAGGTATCTCTTAATTGTCATTTCACTCATTCTTTTTAAGCTCGATGATCATAACATCACAGTATAGATTGACTGAACTTGTTATGTTTAGAACATGAGTTCACAAGATCCTTGTTTCAAGATCATAGCACGATGGTGACTAGAGTAGATGGAAACCTTTGCTTCACGAAAGTGTTCTTGCCAGAAGAATCAAGATGTGCTACAATGGTGAATCCATCACACGATCCTGCTGCATCTGTGCTCCATATATGGACGATGTTCTTCCAGGAAGAACCAGTTCAAGGTAGTGAAGCTGGCCATGACAAACACTGTTGAGATCATGAGGGAGACCATCTGCTGCATTTTGTAACTTGTGAATGTATACCCAGCTGATGATATTTGCAGACGGCAATCTCCTCTGGGAATAGCTTACAATTCCTTGTATGCTTTAACATACTGTAAAAAGGAAAATAAAATGCAATCCACATCTACTGAAGTGAAGAAGTGATTAAACTACATAAGCCATTGATCCACATCTACTATAATATGTGAGCCCATATCAGCTCCTTCACTTGTGCTTCCGTTATCATGTAGACTCACAGGTTCTCAGTAAACATTGTCTTGTTCTTTCTTATGCTCTAAACATCTTTTTCTTTATCATAAGGTTGGAAATTATTTAATTCCTTAATTTATTGATCAAATTATATGATCCAATAAGAATAAATTTGTAAGTTTCCAACTATTTGAGATCGATTATATGAATTTTTTTATCGTCAATGAGATTTGTAAAAAAATTATATGTTTAATAAAGTAAATCTTTATTTATAGTTTCTACTAAAACTTTATAGGTTTTTTTCTACCTTTTTCATACCGCTAATATTTTTTTTTTTTTTATCACATCCGAAGGTCTTATTTATTAACATATATTCATATCATTTTAAATAATTTTTCTCTCATTTTATCTTCTATCAAAATGATACATAATTATCCATAAATAAAAGTATTTTTTTTCTTATTTTTTATAGTAACTCCACATATTTATCTCAATATTCTCATCTTGATAACATAATTTTTTTATATATTTTTTTCTTAACTGCTTAACACTTAAATCCATAAAATATTATTGATCTTATAATTACTTTATAAAATTTTACTTTTAATCTTAAAGATAGTTGATAATCACTCAAGACTCTCGGTTTCCCTCCACATTTTAAATATCTTATTTACACTCAATAAGTAATATATTTATCGATTTTTTTATTTTATTAAATAATTAATCAAAAATATCTAAAGTTTTTATTTAAAGGGGTTTCTTGTTTATTCAATTTAAATTATATTCTCTTTTTATTTTTAAATTCATTATAATTATATTTTATGTATTTAATTTTAGTCTTATTTAATCTAAAATCTTTAGTTTCTAAGATTTACCTCCGTAACTCATGTTTATAATTAATTCCAAACATAGAAATTTAATGCGATTCTTTAGTGTAATCTTATACTAATAGGAAACTCACTAAACACACTTCTTATAATTCTAACATTGGTCGCTGCATTAATATATATATTTTTAATAATATTAATATAATTAATAGATACATTATTCTTTTACTATGTGAAATATTTATTAAATAATTCATAATAATTTTTATCTTTTCTTAGTCCCGTTATCATTTATTAATATTGTTTGATCTTCATCTTTAATACATTTAATATTACCTAAATCCTTACACTTTTTTTTTCCACCCTTAGTAATTCGATATATATCTTTTTCATCATCTTTAGTATTTAATTTATTATAAAATTTATCATAAGCTTTATATTTTATCATATTAATCATTTTTAGCCTTTTTTAGATTATTTATATCTTTTTAATTTTTTTTCTATTTTTTAAATTTTATCAATCTTTAAAATATGATATTTTTAGTAATAATTATTTTTTAAACTTCTTCACACTACCACTAACTCATTCTTAAGATTACACCTCTATCCTTAATTTATATAAAATCTTTTTTCGTTAGCTTTTAATCTTATTAACCGTTGTTAGTCCAAACAATATTAATATTATCATCTTCTAAGTTTCAATTAACATCGGTTTTAATCTTATTCTTAAAAGTATTTACATTACTATTTTTAAAATTCGATCATCTAGTTCTAATAATTTTTTTTAATTTTTATAATAAATATCTAATATTATTTCATTTTATAATTCATACAAATAACTTTCTATATCATTTTAGTGAAAACAATTTATTTGATTATAATTATGATCACTCTTATGAATAATTAAATATTAATTTTTATATTAATAATTATAAGATCATACAAAGTTATAAAATCTAAAATCATACTATTATCTTCAATTTTTCTCCCAATAACCAAAACTCCCATATATCTCTTTATATTTACTATATTTTTTTTCTAAATTATTATTTATCATGATATTTATTTATTTTTGTCCTCCCCATGAACTTAGTAGGACATTTGTGGAACTCTTGAAGATGATCTTATATTTTTTGTTTTTGATAATTTAATATTTTATTAAATTTCTTTTTGTAATATCAAAGTAGTCTACTAGTTGTATGCATTTGGGGTTGGGGTCTCTCTCTCTCTCTCTCTCTCTCTCTCTCTCTCTGTGCTGTGTTCGCTCCTCCCTTCGTCCTTTACGCTCCTACAGTTAAGCTTCGCCCCTTTTATGCTCGCTTCCAAGTTTTCCCTCTTTAAAACCCTAGATTCTCTCTCTTTCTAACTCGCGCGCATTTGTCATCTTCAAGCTTGATCGGTAGACCGACCGGAATCCTACTCTTGATCTGATGCTCCTGTAACCCTAGCAGATGGCTTCTTTGTTCAAGGTCGTTGGGACTTCGAGTTCGACGATAATTTGTCTCGCTGCCTTTTCTTCCTTTTGATTCAGAGTTGTTTGATTGATTTCCTCCCCGTTTGCTTGTCGACAGGATCTCGCCAAGCTATCGGCGTACCGGGACAGGAGGTTTCCGGGCAACCAGGAGGAGTATGAGGGCGCGCTGCAGACCTCGACGACGGTCTACGTCGGCAACATGTCATTCTACACCACTGAGGAGCAGATGTACGAGCTCTTCTCTCGCGCCGGAGAGATCAAGAAGATCATCATGGGGCTGGATAAAAACAGCAAAACCCCCTGTGGCTTCTGCTTCGTCTTGTAATATGTGTTCCTCCGTCTCTGTTTGAAACTTTGCGGTGACCGACTATTTAGTTGAGCATTATACTAGGTTTTTGCTACATGGGGTTTTCTTCTCAAGATTCCAACTTTTGGTTGCTATATTTGGTATTTGATGTTTTTTTTTTCTAAATCAAGATCTAGCTAGACTTGATTTTATCGAAATTTAGAAATAAGCTAGTGGCTTACCTGTCTTGCCTTTAGTTCCATGGACTTAGTAGTCGTAATATGGGTAAGCAGACAATGGCCTCGACAATAGGGAGACTCCTCGCTGAGATCAATATGGGAATACTTGGCGTGCATTTCCATGAATGTAGAATTAGATTTATGGCAACTGTTGATTGGATTTATTACAATTTTCATGTTTTCATCGGATTTTTTATGTTTGGATTTGCAGTATTGGAAACCCTTTCCCTTATTTAATTTATTATGTTTTTGAGATGGTTAACGTTTATTCATTTTCAAGTTATTTGGATTGTTGCTGTTGGATATTAAAAGTGACTATGTTAAATTGAGCCTTTTATTGCCCATCTTTGCCCTTTCTAAAACTGAACAATTAACAATTGCCAACAAGCATTACTTTAACTTGAAATGAACTAGATAGAATTCTAAGTTGAATCTACTTCTAGTCAGCTACACTTCCTTTTCATTTCTTGAGCTTCATCAAGGTCCATGACCTTGATAGCCTTGTGTTTGAGTCCATGAATACCCCCTTACTTGTGAATTATGTGCGAATATGATCTTGCTTATGCCCAAAGCACCTTGTTTATTGCTATTTCCAACTCTACCATTAATAAGCCAGGTTGAGCATAGGTTGGTCTGTAATGGAAATTACTTCAGGTTCTTCAACAAATTGGCCATGTTGATGAAAAAACCTTGCTAAATTTTTTTGTTTTGTTCCATCTGCTGACAGACGAAAAAAATAGCAAATAATATTTTTCTTTAGGTGTAATGTTAACAAGTATGACCCAACCAAC